ATGTTCCATGTCTGTCTTGATATCATCAAGTGATACTTAGAACATGTTTCATGTCTGTCTTGATATCACCAAGTGATACTTAGAACATGTTTCATGTCTGTCTTGATATCACCAAGTGATACTTAGGACATGTTTCATGTCTGTCTTGATGTAACCAGGTGATACTTAGGACATGTTTCACGTCTATCTTGATATCACCAAGTGATACTTAGAACATGTTTCATGTGTGTCTTGATATCACCAAGTGATACTTAGAACATGTTTCATGTCTGTCTTGATGTAACCAGGTGATACTTAGAACATGTTTCATGTCTGTCTTGATGTAACCAGGTGATACTTAGAACATGTTTCACGTCTATCTTGATATCACCAAGTGATACTTAGAACATGTTTCATGTCTGTCTTGATATCACCAAGTGATACTTAGAACATGTTTCATGTCTGTCTTGATATCACCAAGTGATACTTAGAACATGTTTCACGTCTATCTTGATATCACCAAGTGATCCTTAGAACATGTTTCATGTCTGTCTTGATATCACCAAGTGATACTGAGAACATGTTTCACGTCTGGCTTGATGTCACCAAGTGATACTTAGAACATGTTTCACGTCTGGCTTGATGTCACCAAGGGATACTGAGAACATGTTTCACGTCTGGCTTGATGTAACCAGGTGATACTTAGAACATGTTTCACGTCTGTCTTGATGTAACCAGGCGATACTTAGAACATGTTTCATGTCTGGCTTGATGTCACCAAGTGATACTGAGAACATGTTTCACGTCTGGCTTGATGTAACCAGGTGATACTGAGAACATGTTTCATGTCTGTCTTGATGTAACCAGGTGATACTGAGAACATGTTTCACGTCTGGCTTGATGTCACCAAGTGATACTGAGAACATGTTTCACGTCTATCTTGATATCACCAAGTGATACTGAGAACATGTTTCACGTCTGTCTTGATGTAACCAAATGATACTGAGAACATGTTTCACGTCTGGCTTGATGTCACCAAGTGATACTGAGAACATGTTTCACGTCTGTCTTGATGTAACCAGGTGATACTTAGAACATGTTTCATGTCTGGCTTGATGTCACTAAGTGATACTTAGAACATGTTTCATGTCTGTCTTGATGTAACCAGGTGATACTTAGAACATGGTTCATGTCTGTCTTGATGTAACCAGGTGATACTTAGAACATGGTTCATGTCTGTCTTGATATTACCAGGTGATACTTAGAACATGTTTCATGTCTGTCTTGATGTAACCAGGTGATACTTAGAACATGTTTCATGTCTGTCTTGATGTAACCAGGTGATACTTAGAACATGGTTCATGTCTGTCTTGATGTAACCAGGTGATACTTAGAACATGGTTCATGTCTGTCTTGATATCACCAAGTGATACTTAGAACATGGTTCATGTCTGTCTTGATGTAACCAAGTGATACTTAGAACATGGTTCATGTCTGTCTTGATATAACCAGGTGATACTTAGAACATGGTTCATGTCTGTCTTGATATCACCAGGTGATACTTAGAACATGTTTCATGTCTGTCTTGATGTAACCAGGTGATACTTAGAACATGGTTCATGTCTGTCTTGATGTAACCAGGTGATACTTAGAACATGGTTCATGTCTGTCTTGATGTAACCAGGTGATACTTAGAACATGTTTCATGTCTGTCTTGATGTAACCAGGTGATACTTAGGACATGTTTCATGTCTGTCTTGATATCACCAAGTGATACTTAAAACATGTTTCATGTCTGTCTTGATATCACCAAGTGATACTGAGAACATGTTACTGTACGTCTGGCTTGATGTAACCAGGTGATACTTGTAACATGTTACTGCGAGTCTGTATTGATGTCACCAGGTGATACGTAGAACATGTCACTGCCTCTTACCTTGATGTCACCAGGTGATGACATCAAGGGAACAGGCAGGTGACATACATGTTTCATGTATGTCTTGGTGTCAACAGGCCGAAGCTTGACTATGTTTGCTGATCTAGATTGTTTTTGTTACCATTATTTATAATTATAGAATAACCTGAAGTGGTGTTATCCCATGTTTGACGACCCTACATATGTTACCTTTCAGCTGGTAATGTAACATGTTTGTGTAGTCAAACAAATGTTTTCGAACACCTAAAAACACGTGAGTGAAGATAGTATAACAATATAGGTATAGTATAACAATATACAGTGTGATTGCCATATTATTTGTTTTCACTCATACGTTCAGTTATAATGAGTTATATCAAAGAAGAAAGTAGTACAACACGTCATAGAAACGGATAAACTCCACAGTAAGACTGTGAAGAAATTAAAGTGTAAAGCATTGCACGTACGCAACTAAAAACCTTGTAAATAACTAAAACCCTAACATGACGCCCACGTTAATCAATTAGGCTTAAGCCATCAATGAATCGAGATAGACAATTGTTTGTTTAATACTTAAATTAATTTTTATAACACCATCTAAACTTTTGACAACCTTGATTTGACGTAATATTTTTTCATTTGTAACTTAATATTGTTTTTGCAACAATTAGATATTTGTTCTAACATTTTTTATAATTTGCTCTTATCGTCAACTTTTCTTTAGAGCTGTTTCTGACAAAGGCAAAAGTCTAGACTTCGACGGTTTAGTTTTTGAAGTTCGGATTTGTTTATTTAAAAACATGTTCAACAAACATTAAACAGTTTAAAAAACAGAATAACATTTTATGACGTAACGGGTGGAACAGAAATATCAACTGATACTGTGATTCGCTGTAGAAATATCAGCTGATGCTGTGATTCGCTGTAGAAATATCAACTGATGCTGTGATTCGCTGTAGAAATATCAACTGATGCTGTGATTCGCTGTAGAAATATCAACTGATGCTGTGATTCGCTGTAGAAATATCAACTGATGCTGTGATTCGCTGTAGAAATATCAGCTGATGCTGTGATTCGCTGTAGAAATATCAACTGATGCTGTGATTCGCTGTAGAAACTAAAATAATAGATTATATTTTTGGACTTATCGCGATAATAATGTTTCATCTGTGGTATCCAGACACCAAAATTTTCTGTTAGTTTGATTTAAAGTTAGTGGTATTAAATGCTAAAAGAAAAAAATTCATTACCATTCTTGTATTGGAGCATTATTAAATTTCACTTTTATAATGGCAAACAGAAGAAGCGCCATCTACTGAGTATGTTTGTCATTATAATAATGATTATATTACATATTAACTTTATGAATTTTTAATTATAATATGAAGAAATAAATTTAATTAATTAGTATTGTGACGTAATTGGACGAGTTCGAGTGTTATTCAGAATTTATAATGTGTATTATGTATAATGTAAAGTTTAAAGTTATATATATTACTACGAAACAGCGACTTACATGTGTTATTACCGACTGCTGTCGTTTGATGAGAAACTATTGGGTTACTACAATACAGGCACACAGTAATTCCAAATATGGGTGAGTTATGTTTATCTATAAATATCAGGTGAATGAATACTTTTACTGAAACTATTTTTTTTGATAGATATAGATTATACTTTTATGATAATTTCTTGAAAGATGTATTCTTACGCGTTTGACACGAATAAATTAAAGGGTAAAAAACATGCTTGGTCTGCCCTATAGCAGTATCTTAAAATTAAATTTATCTCCATAAGAGTTGTTCAACCTAACAAAATGAATTAAATGTCGATAGGTAAACTAGTGTGGTAACTTTCAGCAGAGTAGAGAAGTTAGGCCCGCTAATAAGAAGAGATTATGGAGCCTGTTATTAGCGGGCCTAACTTCTCTATACTTCCCAAAGCTCCATAATCTCTTCTTATTAGCGGGCCTAACTTCTCTATACTTCCCAAATATCGATAATCACCTTTATTAGCGGCCTAACTTCTCTATACTTCCCAAAGAACGATAATCTCCTGTTATTAGCGGGCCTAACTTCTCTATACTTCCCAAAGAACGATAATCTCCTGTTATTAGCGGGCCTAACTTCTCTATACTTCCCAAAGTGATTATCGTTCTTTGGGAAGTATAGAAAAGTTAGACCCGCTAATAACAGGAGATTTATCGATATTTGGGAAGTATAGAGAAGTTAGGCCCGCTAATAACAGGAGATTTATCGATATTTGGGAAGTATAGAAAAGTTAGGCCCGCTAATAACAGGAGATTATCGTTCTTTGGGAAGTATAGAGAAGTTAGGCTCGCTAATAACAGGAGATTATTGAAGTATTTCTTCTCGAGTTGAAATAGATGGATAACAAAGGAAGATACAAGACACGACTTTGCACAATTAAATATTTAATGACACTCTGACAGTTAACAGAACAATACACTAATTATACAATACCACAATACAGTAAAACACTAGATAGGTCAAGTGATCAAATACAGATGTTATATCAGTTGATAAACTAAAGTCAAAAATAAAACTATTCAAACTGCTCTAAACCTAATACAAGTTTAAACAAAAATCCGAGTGTTATCTCAACGTTAAAACTTTAAACTTTTTCACGTCACTGTTCACTTCGCAAAGCGAATGTTAAAGATGAAATAACGTAAAACTGCTCACTTCAGCTTCGTCACTAATAATAAGTTAGTGTTAGAATCAAGTGAAACCAAGTCCGCTTACAGCAAACTTCTAACTCTGCTAGACTGAAAGAGACTTAGGATCAGTAAAGGCACCTAATCGAAAATAAAAATGAAAGTTAAAATGTGGTAAGACCTAAATATAAACAAACACTCAATGTTTATAAGATGAAAGTTAAAATGTGGTAAGACCTAAATATAAACAAACACTCAATGTTTATAAGATGAAAGTTAAAATGTGGTAAGACCTAAATATAAACAAACACTCAATGTTTATAAGAATATAGGTAGTGGCAAAAAAAAATTGAAACATCAATGTAAAGTCACTTAATTTATAGGGCGTTAGGCCATCTCGTGCGGCCATTACGGTGATGAATGGTTTGCGCACAGCAACGACTATGGTACCCCGTTCTGTAGAGTTCTCAGTGGATCGTTTTTGATGAAACTGACTACTCTCGCCCCAGGTTGAAATATGCGGTCAATTGATCTGCGATTGATCGCCTCTTTAGCTTTGAAGTTTGAATTAATTCACGGACATCACGATCCTGGAGTATGCGCTTCCACCCACTGTTGCCCTTTGCTGATGACGTCTTTCCCTCGTAGTTCCATGCTGACATCACCTTAGACACCGTTGCTCGTGAAACATCGGTAAGTTGAGCTGTCTTGGTCACTGTAGCTCCCGCCAAACGCGCCCCAACAATCACCCCTCTTTCAAAGTCACTGAGGTCTCCTCTCGCAGCCATGCTAGTCGTGATTATAAACAACCAGGCCTGTCCAGTAATTTTATACATGACCTTATGGATGCTGAGATGTAATTTACTTAATTAATGGACGAGCCACACCTGTGATGTGTATACTTGTTGTCCCTTATTTACGCTTCCATTTTTTTTCTCCACTACCTGTAAGTAAGTGAACGTAGCCTGTGTAGACCAGATTGAAGAAATATGTAAATTAATTATCGATAATTTGAATGAAGTTCGTATTATTGCTGTCAAGTAATCCAAAAGATCCAGCGATTAAACACCAAAGAGAACATAAAGAAATACTTCTGGTTTGTAAGAAATGGCTTTAAAGTTATAATACAAATCGTACAAACACTCTTATTAAATTAACATTACTTGAGCTTCTATTTCATTTAGTCCGATAAACATTGTTTTAAGACTTTAAAACATTCCTATAGGTGTATTTGTAGATAGAACATTGACATTCAAAATATCTTCCGGTGAGTCAGCGGTAAGTATACGGACTTACAACCCTAAAATTTTGGGTTCGTTCTTCAGTGCTAAAAAATCGGACATCAAAATAAATCATGATTTCACCTTTCAAAATATAGTTTTTTTAACTAACAATAAAATAAGTTTTACTTTTATAAATATTTAAGCTACAAAGGTGATTGTAACTGTATAATATTGTCCTAAAGGTTGTCAAGCCAACATAGTATTTTCTGTGTGCTGTACGATCGTTGTTACAAACGTATAAACGTTCTTAGCGCAGTAAGCATATCTTTACAAATAAAATTACGTCACAAACTTATTCTTTTCTTTGTTGAAGTTTCGCGAAAAGCCACTCGAGGGCTATCTGCCTAATTTAGAACTGATAGACTATAGAAAAGGCAGTTAGTCAAGACCACAAACCACCAACTATTGGACTACTCTTATAACAATGAATAGTGGAATTGACCGTTACATTATAACGCCTCAGGGATGAAAGAGCTAGCATATTCGATCCCACAACCCACAGATTGCGAGTCGAGTGCCCTAATCGCCAAGCCACGCTAGGCCTGTAACATAAACATATTTTATTACATGTGCTCCGTTTTTATATTCATTTAAATTTATTTAAAACCAAAAAGTTGTTGATGAGAAAGAAAGAAAGTTAGATATCCAATTATATATATATATTCTAAATCCTGTGTTTCTAAACAGTAACTATAAAATAACTTCTAAAAAAATTCGGTTATAATTATGGCTACATGCTAAAGGAGATTTCAGCCAACCTAAAACACACACGTTTGTCGGTGCGCAGTTAAAGTGTCATGGCGTCTTTTCTCATTTCAAATCATCTGCTACAGGATAGTAGATTGGTCGCCAGTAACATGCTACAGGATAGCAGATTGGTCACCAGTAACATGCTACAGGATAGTAGATTGGTCGCCAGTAACATGCTACAGGATAGTAGATTGGTCGCCAGCAACATGCTACAGGATAGCAGATTGGTCGCCAGTAACATGCTACAGGATAGCTGATTGGTCGCCAGTAACATGCTACAGGATAGCAGATTGGTCGCCAGCAACATACTGCTACAGAAGTTACTGGCGACCAATCTACTAATACTGCTATCACATATATACGTGTGTGTGTGTGTTATTTATTTAAATGTAAGAATTATTATCATGACTATATTACCCCAAGCGATTTCCCAGTCTAAATAAGAACGCTTTGGGTTCAAGACTATTTATCGCTCCTCGACACTATAGCAACAGTACAAACAAACACAAGCTCAGCCTAGAAACAACAGTCTGGTATATAATTGTACAAACTAAGCAAATTAACTTCAGACTGCATTGATTAAAGTGATTATTTATGTTTAATTTATTAGGAGATGGTCCCAAACATTCCAAAATGTATATGGCATATTAAAACACCAAATTTTACAAGAGCAAAAAAATATTAAACAAGAAGCTTAAGGAAATTTCAGAATTTTCCTGTTCATGATGCGTAAGTCGATTATAAGTTAGTTGAGTGATTAAAAAAAAAAAAACTGACTTTACTGCGACATAGTTGTTTATCAGTAGTTATTCTAGCTCCATTAAGCCTAATTAATATGGTCGTGCGTGAGCGAATAAAATTTCACACTACATTAAGCCTAATCAATTTGGCTATGCTTGAGAGAATAAAATGTCATACCACATTAAGCCTAGTAAATATTAACTAATATTTATGTTTGTATATTGATGCTAGCAGTAGATGCAAAAATTGAAATGTTAAAGGTGAGTTAACTTCACCTAATACATTTGTTTGACAAGAATTTAAGTTATTAATTTTGTTAACTAACAGACCACTTAAGGAACCAGATTATATTGATTTTATGTCTGAATCAATAACATTTGTTTTTATCGTATCTCAAGGCTTACTGGTTAAGTTTACTTCCACTAGGTGATTTTCAGTTCTTGAAGAGTTGTTACGTTTATGACATTTACGTGACTTCTGTTATTTTAGCATCTGCTCTGAACAGATTTCTTCCACTTTTTGGGTGACTTCTGTTGTTTTGACATCTTCTCTGACCAGATTCCTTCTGCCTTTAGAAAAATGCTTCATTGGATATTTGATTTTCATAAATTCAGACATTCGCGCCATCTCGAGGCTTCTAGAAAAACTAACTTGAACACTGTGACGTAACTTATACTTCTGGTAAGATCTTTTCAGGAGAGATAACACCTGTTAGGCATAGAAACACAAGATGATTTTTACACACATAATCACCTGGTTTAACGTTAGTTATCAGTAAATATTGTACATTCATAATGATACTGAACATATTCAAAGGTTTTAGATGTAAAGGTAGAAATTCTGAGATTAATAACTTACCTCTCCGTTTAAGTAACAGAATATTAAGGCCACGACAAGACCCTGTGAAAAACAAACAAATACGTTGTCTGAAACACATAAATAACTTACCTCTCCGTTTAAGTAACAGAATATTAAGGCCACGACCAA